TTTACATCAGATTAATGAATTGTCCACGGGTTACATAGCGTAAGCATTGTTCGTTCAGTCATTTCAGTAGGCCAGAAAAGTTCATCTCACGTCGACGGGTAATTAAAAATAAAGAAATGTGCTGTTAATTACTTTCTCAGTTTTTCCTCACACTTTCGTAAACTCGGTCTTCAAGCCTAAAAGGGTTTACGCTGAGATAGCCATGATTTTCTTGCACGTAATAAATTACACTCTTGTTGGATCAACTTTAATGTAACAACAATTTGTAAAACGTAGTGATGACATGTGATATTTTACACCTGGTAAGAGAAGTAATTTTACGTTTTGCTGCTTATTAGAAGTCTGTTGTAAGCAGACTCGCCTAACATTTACCACACATAGACTTGTCCACATTTCGGAAAAGACATCATATTAAAATGAAAACGGCACATTTTTAGTAAAATTTGGTAACACATCTTTCTAACTTATTTAATATGTATTGAATCTGAAAATGGAAGTTACCAAGCCAAAATTTTGAGTGTAGGGGGTCAAACTGACAAAACAAAATGACGGCCATAGTTTGCATAATCTTTTTACAGTAAAGAATTATTGACGAACATATTGTCATGAATGTTGCTAGTTTCTCGTTGGAAACAAATTTAAAGTTGTGTTTTGGCAGTATGGTGGTGCTGAAATTATTGTAAAATGCTTTTTAAAACAAAATTTAGTTTTAATTGCAAGTGCCTATTCTAACAGGGGTTAAACGACTAACAAAGAAAGGGCTGGTATGGCTGTCCGACAAACCCTAACATTGACTACGGACAACCTTTCGCTGTGTACGCGACAATAAGCGGTCGTTGACAGACCATTTTTTTAAGTAGCATATATTTCTGTTGACCACCATCTGACCAGAAGATGTCCTCGGGCCTCACAACAGAGCAGAACCTGATCACGTGATGTCGAGAACGTGGGTGTTCGCGCCACATTATCGATACTTATATATATATAGACATGATTATCTATACAACCCATGTTATGTTTATTATGATGTTTATTGGTCACGTGGATCACTTCCTCGTGCTTTCACGAAGGTGCGCACATTCCACGACAGGTACTATAAGGGAAGTCTGTCGCTGAGGCGGACACCTTGATCATGAGTACAACTTGAAAGGCGTATCTAATTTATCGATTTACCTTGATCCGGATGGCCGGGAAATGAGCTTAAAGCTCGTATTATCAACTCTGTTTTTTTCGGCAGTGTCTCCCCAAGTATCTGGTTAGCTAGTCGTCAGAATATTGTGACCGGGCGGGGTGTTGTGTGTCGTCAGAATATTGAGACCGGGCGGGGTGTTGTGCAATCTTGTCCAGTCATGACATTTTATAGATATACCGCTATAGAGTGTCCCATCGTCTGTAGACACTGTCTCCATACAATGTATGACCATATAGCTGTTAAACTAAAACCCTGAACATCTGGTGTCTGGTGCCACAGTTCTACATTATCCTGTACGGATTTGCTTGTGAGGTCTAGCATCACGGACCGATATCTTAAACGGTTTGTTTGTGACAGAATGAAATAACGGACTATCGAATACGTCTTGTTGTTACTCTGTCAAAGGGCACGAGGAATGACCTGTCTGTGATGACCTTACGTAGCTCCATTGATTGGCCGCCGTATTAATGTATAACAACGATCATTTACCTGTCACGGTCGTCACTGGAAATGATTTACGGACGACTGAGCTCCAGGCGACACACAGCCGCACCTTGTACTAACGACAGAGTCGAACAGTATTAATTAACATTTAAATCTATTTCATCATTTATATTAATTTATATTTGTTATCCTTCAAAAACATAGTCAATCACTGTCTGTCATTTCTCGTCTGTGTTAGATGATGGAAACCTTCAATACGAACCTAAACTAACCTCAATATATCCAGGGATTCAAATAGCACAATAAAGACTTCCGTGGCAAAAAAACTCACAACCAAGACTCAGACACACACGGACTCAAATGTTACTAGATTAAAGAAGGTTTCAAAGACTCATCATCATCACTCACATACTTGGTGATTAAAAATATCAACAGGTTTAAATAAGGTTTTGTTTCCTATTATCAGATCGGCCGAACGAGTAATGTGTTTTCTTTTTTAACGAACCTGTGTCTAGCTACAAGCCACGAACGAGATGTAAAGGAATTTATCATTGTTTATCATTGACAAACTCTCAAAGCAAATAAATGTCGATATAGGTTTTCTAGGCAAGTCTGGCATTCAACGTCTTCAATTTCAAGACGTCATGTATAATTATAATCCTTAATATGACGTTACACTTGGTATGCATGCGACAAAGGATTATATTTATATCGAATCAAACAGTCCTAATATCGAGTAAGTCCGCTTGATATCTCGATGTAGTCACACCGTTACAGGTTTTTACCACGTACAAATCTGACGTAGTGCTGGCGAGGTCACGCATGTGTACAGACACCAGACCCTCCCCCAGGTGGGAGACAATCATTATCTTTAGCAACATCAGATATTTAAAAACACTACTAATTACATTCAATTTTAGGCCTTGTCTAAGTCTGGACTGATCTGCCTTCCCATACGTGGATTGTTCGTGTTTCTGTCAGAGCCCCTCGCCTCAACAACCCTCCGCCACACCGCTCTCCGAGTCTATCCGATTGTCACGCCAGGTTGAGATTCCTGCGTGGCTTTGTCGCTCAGCAGGGGGTGGAATCTAATCAATGTCCCATAATGATGTGATAAATATTGTAGGTTTTGTTTTTAATCTTAATTGGCTTGTAAATTATTCTGTAAGAAACCACCAAGAATGTATTTGGAGACCAATATTAAGATGAGAGTCTCCATCTCTGTCCTTAGTTGTGTGATGGGTTGCACTAACGATAGGGGGTAACCAGCGTCCATAGACGGCCGATGTAAGAATGTTTGTGTGTCGGGCCTACCATATACTCATCTGAACTCCTAACACGGGAAATAGTGGACGAATTATTTAAATCATTCCGACTGAGGGATGATGAATATTTGTACTGAATCAAATTAAAGACGTCACAGGGCCGAATCGAGACATCACCCTGATATCCAGTATGCACTTATTTCCTCTGTATTCGTTCCTTATCGTTTCCCATGTACAGCGTCTATCTATTGAAGGGTTCTTTGCGACCGGCGGATTAAATCATTTGACCTCGAGGTCGCAGCTATTCATGTCGTCACAAGATGGCGGCACACTGTGCTGAAAGTAACACAGATACAATAATTGACAGAAAAACATGTTTTCGTTCTCGATAAAACTTGTAAACATGTCAAATAATCTATGTGACTGATCATCAGGGGACTCTCACCAAGAGCAACCCTATATTAATAATAAGGTATTTTGAAAAGGAAAATACACTGCGGGTGTACATGTGTACTTGAATGTTTGCTCACATATATTTACGCAGAGATAATCCAACGTAATTATCTTAATTTGATGCAAAATTGATGCAGGTCTTATGGAACTAGACTTAGTAGTACTTAATTTAGGGAAGCGAAGCTAATGCATTCTCAATTTTTTCACACCATTTAAAGCAATTGACGTTGTGAAAAATCATCAAATGGATTGTGGCGCAGACAATGAGGGAGATTGCCAGAGTACACAGTCTTTTTAAATAAAAGTTAAATAAACATGATAAGCAATGGGCATTTGTTGTAAGAGTCTTGTTGCCGTAATTCTGAGCGAGTTTTTCGAATGATCAACATCGTTTGTAAAACAATCTCGTACAAATATTTGAATTTTTGAAATATTTGATATCCAAAATATATACAAACTTTGTTTACAGCTCTGTACCTAAATTCAATTTTATAATACATGTACTTCAGATGTTTTCGTATGGGTCGCATGCAATCAGTTAACATCTAGTATATTTCTACGTCACGGATCAGTGTGCGTGATGGTGGGAGACGAAGTAAAATGGCGCTTATCTTCAAACCGTCACCTCCCAAAGTTTGTACTTACCTGGCCAAACTCAGTTGTTGTCGAATTTTAGACATCAGCGCATACGAGATTGAAAAAGGTGATATAGTTCTTGATAAGATTTCGGAAAAAGCAGGTTGGTTATTGATTTTAAAAAGTATTTTAAAAATGTCTACGTTTTGTATGGGTGTAATAAAACAGGTTGAGCATAGGATTTCGGGATGGAGTAAGTTTCTGGTTTCCCTCGGCCAAAAATATTTTCCTTGATTTCGTTTAAGGAAAACCTAGTATCGAGGAACCAGAAACGTCCCCATGCCCATACTGTAACATTATTATGTAACTGCCACGAACCGGCACAAATAGTCGTTTCATTTGTCTATAAGGCAAACCATGCGCCAGAAGTCAGATTTTTGATGTCGTGAAGGGATAAAAAAGAGACATTTTCTTCGTGCCAAGTTTTATAACCGTTTTATTATACATTTGCAAACCAACCACGCACACATTTTTACGCCACCATCGTTGTTAAGACATGTCGTCCTCCCTGGGTTATACATCTGGCCGTGGGGGACTAGAGACTCGCTAAAACTTTATTCCTGAAATCCCATATTTTAGTTTTTTTATTATACCGATACGAATCGGACAGATATTGAAAAAAAACCATTGTCTAGGTCACATTTTCCAACAATCTAGCGAGAAGCACATATACTCCTTCACTATACCAATATTGATATCTCGATCAATAATAAACAAATACATAGGTCAAGGTCGAAAAGTAGATTAGACAAGTCCATTGACGTGTTGACATGGGTGTGGGAGGTGCTCTCGGTTTAATGTTTTGATTGGGTTATTAGGACAGTAACAAAGCTCTATAATCTATTGCCCGGTAAATGAGTTATATACCCGGCACAAAGCAATTATCTGAAGATTTAGAACAATAACATTTACTATCATATTACTTTAATATAGGGATAAATATACATAGGTTTATGCATAACGTGTAGTTTTCATCTTGTTTAAACATGTATCCCCTTCTTCCATTCTAGTACTGTATTTGAGATTACGAGACGGCTCCGACCCAACCAACGGTCGCGTGGAGATTTCCAAGGACAACGTTACATGGGGGACGGTGTGTGACGACTTCTGGGACGGCGCGGCGGCCGACGTCGTGTGTCGCCAGTTGGGCTTAAAATGGGGCGTAAGTGTAAACATTACCGTCATATTCAAAAACAAAAACAATAATATAATACGTTGGAGTTATTTAATGTGATACATTTATATTTAGGTGGTTAAGAAAGTTGTTTTATGTTGGACAGATGGCCCACCCTCTTGCCCACTTCGGCCCCGGACCGGCGGAACTGCCAATAGTCTTGGACGAGGTGATATGTGATGGATCGGAGGAGTCACTGCTGGACTGTCGGACCAACCCCTGGGGCCAGAATAACTGTAATCACCAGGAGGACGCAGGCGTCTCGTGCTACAGAGATAAGGGTAAGCAAATAATGTAGGCAGAATGTAACAACCATGGATTATCATAATTAACTAGTCCAGGTGTCTAGTGTTTCAATGTAAAATACAGGTAGATTGAAGTAAACATAGAGGTAGAGATACGTACAACGTAGTAAACTATAATTACAGGCAGCTGTAACCAACATAGATCAAAGATAACTGAAGGTAGGTATAATTTAGTAAGTAGAGAGTAAGACAGGTTACAGTAAACATAGGATATCAAAATTAAAATGTTCCTACATGTCTTCGGATTCTAATTGATCGCTGTGAGAAACAGGCTGTTACAAATATAGCCATGGGTCTTATAGAGAAAATATATTGATTCATTGACTTAACATACTTAAGATAATGAAGCTTAATATACATATGCAGATGTGTGAATTAAATTTGCATAAATTTAAATAGACACGCATCAAATATTTCATTTATGCAGACAATAGCAGTAAACATGCACTTGCATACACTATAGTTATGGTAATCATACACTGTCGTGATTGACAGGTGTATAAAAACCAAACGTCTCGCAAAGATATCCGTACAGATACACTGGTATGTAGGCACATTTAGATTCGTAACACACTATATATCACCGCCTGTAGAAAACCCGTAGACAATCATCGGTATTTATTTACTGTTTGAATTACTTAGCGAGTTGTTTGTATCGGTGAAACAGACATGCCACGTCATGTTAGGAATTGTACTTAAATTTTAATCCAAAATCGGGCGTCATTTCCATGGGGAAATTAGGAGGGACAGCACTGCTGTTGAACCGAACTATTCAAATTTTCACTTGGTTTCTTTTCATCAATTATGGTATATCATCCATAAAAATCGACGAAATGTTTCTTCACGCGTTTAGTACTGTGTATATGTCGTCGATACTAGACTAAATCAGACACATCGCCGAACGTAGATATTGCACATAGTAAGGCACGTAGTCTATGCGTTATACAAGTGGATATGTTTGTGGTAATCTAGGTGATATGTTCAAGTACACTAGAATAATAGTGATAACAACGGTAATTGGTATGGCGATAAAAAACAACGTAACATGTGTTGTTCTGAAAATTTTCTGTGTGTAAAGTGCAATGCTATACTGCACCTATACATCAGCCGAACATATATCATACCTGACACGTGTAATTAAACTCATTACAGGTATGGAGCATATAGCAATTTTGATTTTGTTTATCACGGTAATTATTAGAATGTAAATTTTGCAGAACTTCATGTATATATTAATCTTTCTATCATACCAAGGTTAGCGTTGATGTATCACTGCCATGATCAATTGTCAGTGGGAAATTTAACAGATAACTGCTTGAAAGGTTTTTTCCTCCGATATTACAATAATAGGTGTGGTTTCATTTTTGAGCTTTTAATATACACGATTTTAAACCATGCCTAACATGTAACTTCAAAGCAAAAACCCTAACGGTATTGATAACAGTGTTTCCGTTTACGTACATATTTGTGTAAATATATAGTATATCGTTTACAGGTAATTCTTCGCCTCATTACTCGATGGAACCTTCTAAAACACCTACTCAAGCACGTTTCTCGCTAATTTTAGGTTTTGCAACATAAGACCCATTTCTCACTTAGTTTAAACCATATTTCATGCGTGCCAATTAACATGTACAGTTACAAAAGACATTTCATTGTGATGATTTGGAAACAAGTGTTAACGTACTTAAATATAGTCGTTATTCATCGCTCATAACACGCTTTGTTGATAATACATTTCTCCCTTGAATGAAGGGGAACAAGTACTTAATTCAAAACTGATTTTTAATGAAACTTCGTACACATGTTCAGTATCATGACAATTTTTGCACTTGCAATACAATTTTTACTTTCACAATTTTGTTGGGAGTAAAATTCCTTTTCCGATATCGGTTTTCAGATTTTGTTGTTAATACCCGTTTGGATAATTTGTCCAAATTACTTTCGATTATCCTCTTAACCGATATTTATGAAACATTATCCAGTTTAGCTGTACCGTAAGTAGTAGCGCGTTTGCCATTTTTTAAACTGTTTTTTTTATTGGAAGCCGAGCATGAGTTCGGCTGTGGCTTATTTATTCCTAGTTTCTTACCCGAACGTTAATACGACACGTTCAAGGGGTTCCTTTATAGCAGCTGATTGTTGCGCGTGCTTTGTTAATCGTTTGCAGGATGTTTAACTATTTGTATTGCAGTAGGACTAGATATCCTCCACGTCTAGTCGAGCTGTCTATAAACTGTTATGGTGCTGAATTTACACTGGAGCTGTTACAGAAAGACAAAAGATACATTTTGACGTTTATACCAGCAGTTTATGACAAATATTAATCTCTATGAACAACGTGATGATGTCAATATTTCTTTATGGATGAACAAACAATATATAACATCAAGGACATTGAGAAAAAAACCTAGGCACACATCATTTCCTTATTAAAAATGAGAATAACTGCATAGTATATAATGCATGATAAAGGCATAATGGACGAAATAAAAACGTATTTCCCAAAATAATTTTCGTATTATGATACGGAAGTCGGCGACATAGAGCAAGTATCTCTAGCAAAGAAGTTCGATAATAACTTATAAGTGCACATGGATTACTGGAGTGTCAGTGCATGGTTCCTTATCTTTCCGTTCCTTGGTAGTAACATTCCTGACTTACCTTGTTGTGGAGTTAATAAACATGTTGATTTTACAGAGCCCGTATACTTGTCAGTGTGTACTGCTGAATATAAATAACTTGCTAGGGGTTTCAGTATCAGAGAGTACTGTTGAATATAAATAACTTGCTAGGGGTTTCAGTATCAGAGAGTACTGATGAATATAAATAACTTGCTAGGGGTTTCAGTATCAGAGAGTCCTTTTGCCTGTAAAACTACTTTGCCAGTGTTTTAAAGCACGACGGTTTCAATCTTTGATGAGTTATCATCAAGACCTGAATACAACTGATGATATTGCCGTGTTATATTAAAGTGTTTAACCTAATTTTAACAATCAAGTCTACTGTATTGGATGTAATTTATTGAACAACAGGCTTAATGACTACTCAGATAAACATAATATAATATCTCCTAATCAAGCCGTAAAGGTCTCTCCACGGTTAACAATAGTTTTGTATTGCACACGCTGTTATCTTTATATTTGGCCAGTTACAAAAAACTGTATACGACTTTTATCGATTTTAGAAAAGCGTTTGATACGGTTTGGAGAGTAGGACTTTTCAGAAAACTATATAAAAGCAAAGTTAGAGGCAAATGCTTTACTATTATCAAAAACGTGTATGAAAATATAAAATCATGTGTAGAATTAAAAAACACCAAGTCTGAGTTATTTCCTTGTCTAGTTGGTGTAAGGCAGGGCGAACATCTTTCTCCTTTTTATTTTCCATCTACCTTAATGACATTGAAGACTTTTTTTAGAGTCAATAGTTCACTTCCTCTTAGAACAATTGAAAGATAAATTTCAGACTGAGCTGAATATGTTTGTGGATCTTTTTGTCCTGTTATACGCTGACGATACAATTCTTCTTTCTGATTCAGCTGAAGGTTTGCAAAATGCTCTTAACGTTTTTCAGAAATACTGTGATATATGGAAACTAGAAGTTAATGTGAAGAAAACAAAAATACTTGTATGCTGTAAACGCAAATCTAATAAAAACCATGTATTTAGAATTAATTTTAGCTATCTGGATGTGACATTTAATTACAATGGTAGCTTTTTGAAATGTAAACGAAAGCTTTGTGAGCATATCGTAATGTAAAAAATCAACATCTTCCAATAGACTTGCAACTTAAATTATTTCATACCCTAGTAAGTCCCATATTGTTATATGGATTTGAAATATGGGGTAACGAAAATATCAAAATAATAGAACAAACTCATTTGAAATTTTGCAGACGAATTTTGGGCCTGAGAACTTCAACTCCAAACTTTATGATCTATGTGAATTAGGTCAATATCCTCTTGAGATAGCTGTTAAGTTGAGAATGATGACTTTTTATAACTCACTTTTAACGAATACCTCTAAACTTAGTTGCCATATGTATAGGTTAATGTTCAAATTTCAAGCCAATAATTCGCGTAAGTTTAAATGGTAAGAATATATAAAAATGTGTTTTGATGAAGTCGGACAAACTTCTATTTTTATAAAACAGGAACCTATTAGTAAATATTATATTAAAAACACTGTCAAACAATTTTTTTATGGATCAATTTTTACAAAGATGGCATGCAAACATTCAAAATTCATCACGAGGTGAACTCTATGGTAATTTTAAGAAGAAATAGTACTTGAGCCTTATTTGACTCGCCTTTCTGAAAAAACCAGATCAATATTATGTAAATTTAGATGTTCTAATATGAAATTTCCCATTGAAACGGGTAGGTGGCATAATATCCAAAAACAAGACCGAAAATGCACTCTATGTAAAAATGAGATAGGCGACGAATTTCATTATTTATTCAAATGTACAAATTTAATAATTGTAGAGCTTAGAGAAAAATATATTCCTCTGTATAACAGAAAAAATCCGTCTCAAATTAAATTGAGTGGTCTGTTGTCATTTTGTAACACGACAGTATTAAATGGAATTTGTCTTTTATTGGAAAAAAATAACAAACTGCTTTAATATGTATCATGGTTACTGTTTTGTGAACTTACCATCATCCATTTTGTCATCATATGTGTATCATTATACTCTGATACCTCATGTTGTACATTTTAATGTATCTGAGGAAAAACAATGAACTTGTAAACTTGTAAACTTGTAACCGTTTATCTTTCTTCAATGACAAGTCGCTATCGCCATTTAACCGTGGTATATATACGTGTATAGTATTACACCGTTGATGTACTTAACTAATATTTACACTTACTTTAAATAAGTGATTGCGCCTTTGACTTCGGATTCAATAGTGTTACTGCACTTATATGTTTAGCTTCAAAAACACGCTTCGTACATTTATCATGAGGTTTAATGACGTAATAAATCAATAGCGTGGATCGAAAGTTTACACGGTAGATATATATTGTCATTTTAGGATTGATTCAAATTAAAAAAACAATCAACTGCTATAAAAGAAACCTTTGAACATTATATTAATATTCAGATATGAAACTAAAATATGAGGAAATACCTTCATAATTATCACCCAAATCGCATTACATTTTCTACAAAATGTCACTGGTATGTGCAAAACAATGACCTCCTGGCTAGATAGATACTATATTCATGATAATTTGTTTTTATTTCTTGTATTTTTCGTTTATTACTTTTTTTTTCTTTCTCTCAAGAATGTCATTAAGGTAACCATCTATTTCATTTAAAGAGCAATAGTTCACTATCAAATGCAATTGGGCGTTTTAAGTTGTATGATGATGTGACGTGTTTGATATCTACCGTTAATAGAAATCGATTGTTCATTTACCTACCGTCCTCTCCCTTTTTCAGAAATGTAATCATAAACTTGAAAATTGCGACAAAGGAAACATCGAGATTTTCAAGAAGTTACTGAAAACTTTTAATAGGTAATTTTCTTTTGTACAGTAAGTATTTAAAGAAACCGACCGTATAGGAGTTTCTGAGGAAGGTGATTTTTTGTGGATATTACAATAAAAAGGTGTGGTTTTGTTTTGCGCTATGAGGTTTAACGATATCAAACCTCTGTTACAATATGACTTTAATGCAAAAATCCGCTCTTGCAGTACAATCCACAGCGTGTTCTTTTGCGCACCTATTTTTGTACATAAACTGACGTAACCCATGTAAAACAATTGTTTCACAGGATAGTTCTCCACCTAATTACTTTATGCGACTGTTAACAAATCTTTTCAAGCAAGTGCTTTTGTTACATTAAACTTTTGCCAACCGATTAACTAATACTTATACGTTCTCATATCCTTAATTAATGTTGGATGCCCGTCTATAGACAGAGTCGAACGCAGCGCTGCTTACCTATTAAACTGATTTTTATGAACTTATTTTAAACATGATCAGTTCCTTAGGAATTATACTCATGCGATTAATTTTATATATCAATTTTGTTGGGAGTTACGTCCTCTTTTCAAAACACATTTATCACTTTAGCCCGAATTTCTGCTACACTTCTACTTACTTTTTTTGACTGCCATTTGTGAATATTGTCCACATGATCTGTATGTTATGTAGTTATGAAATTGCTTTTTTTTATTTCAACTATTTTATGAGAGTTATTCCCCTTTTCATATGTTATTTTAATGTGACAGCCGTAGTCTTAGCGTTATTTTTTTTTATCGATATAAAAACGTCAAATTTTACGGTCATGTTATAGCAGCTAATTTTAAAGCGTTGAATTTTTAGGAATTTTAATCTTTAATAAAATATCAATATTCATTGACAGTAAACACTTACCGATATATCTTATAGATTTATTGCGTCATTAAACTTCATGATAAATGTACAAACGTATAAATTTATGAAATTTTACCTCTGTGCAGTCAACGTTTGGTGAATATAAACTTTAAGACACATTCGTTTAGTTTGTGATGTTTCCTGGTTCAGTGCGCACACCACCATTGTATACACGCATATATATTTAGGTTTAATAGAAAGATTGACTTGTCATCAAAGTTAAAGATAAACGGTTATACCTTATACAGTATATCTTAATATTGAGCTAAATACTTTAAAACAAACACAACCTCATACTCTCTCGAGAATACCTTTAAAAGTGGATAAATGATTAAGGATTACTGAATATAATTATTATACAATTTTAAAATATTACATGTTATTTTTTCTTTTCCTGATTCCTGTCGTCAAGACGATTAAGGCGTAGCACTGATCTACTAAATATTCAGTGCACTCCTCTTTTACTTAATAAAAATAAGAAAAAAGTATCATATCGTCATCACACTGACAATATTCAATGTTAATGTCGACATACAAAGCCAACTATTCATATGTGGAGACATCGAAAGGAAAAACCCCTATAAAACTGCAGACGAAGTCGAGTGTTCCAGAAAGATACACGTTTCCTGTTCCTCAAAGTAGATTGACACATCCCAGTTTGAAAACCAAGGAAGTACAGTGTAGTTTGATAGTCAATAGGGACGAACTGATGCAGAAAGTCATGATACCTTGCACAGTCTCTAGAATATGGAATATACAAGGGAATGTTACTACTGAGGAAAAATGAAGTTAAGAAAGCATCTGAAACCACAGTGACCTTAAAGTTAAATCATATCCATGCACATTTATATACTTTGATATATATACTCACCCTACCTTTCTGACATCCAAATCATAATACATACAATATACCTGGAAAGATATTATGGTTTACCATGTACTAAAGCACTGCAATTATTACAACTTTAAAGAGCAGACCGAAGTATAACTAGTCGGTCGGTCAATCCCTTTGATGTTATTGTTTTGTACATATCTATTAAGGAATATTGAATGTGATATTGACATCGGCAAGGTTGTCATGGAGATTGTTATATCTCATAAACTGTCGATATAAATATGAATATGTCAAAGCTGTTGACAAAGAAAATGATCTGGTAACAATGAAATAAAAGTTGTTATTGAAGTTTTGTTATTCAGGCATCAATACATAGGACTGATATTAAATGGCTTATGTATTATCTCTTGGTTTCTAGGCCTTGTGTAAATTCAGCTAAACAACAATTTATTGACACATCGACTAGAAGTGTTGTAAATTTATCCTCATTGAAATAACGGTAGCTTGTCGAAACATTCTTTTACATATCAAGCAAAAATAGGTAATAAGAATAACATGCTCTGTGTAAGTCTTAATAATCACAGCAAAATGTTAAACATGTTTGAAACCGCAGCCAAATTACTATTTCTACTAAAAATCATTATTTGCACAAATTATGTCCTTCTGCTAAGACAGATAAATATTCATTCTGTAATTTGTTGAAGAATTAATTTTGAACACCAATTTTCATTAACTTAACAATAAAACAATACTATTTTGCTATCAAATACATGGTGTTGTAAGATCTTAAAGATGTATCAGGATGTAACATGGTTTGATATATACGGGTAATAGAGATATCATGTTCATCTTCCTAATCTTCCCCAACAACAGGCAATGTCTGTTATTCTTGTTTGTTTGGCTAATATAACGACCTGTGTTTTTACTTTCCGTAACTATAACACATTCCCCCATTTGTTTATTAAAGAAACCACCAGGATTATTATTGGAGTTACATATCATATGTCGAAAAACTTTCATCAAATTTATTTCGTTATATAGCGTTTTACCTAAAAATAATCATGGTTATTAGTTATAATAAGATTAAAAGTGTCGCAAATAGTTTTTATTTAATGAATAGCTCTGCATTTCTGTTGAAAACGAAACAAATTTTGCACAAAACACGACACTGCGTTAAAGCTACTTCACCCATCAAGACCTAAGAATCACAATTATTCCGCCAAACATTTCATAATCACCTTTTGTAACGTCATTTTGTTAGGTTTTCCATATACGAAATAAGATTAAAAAAAGTTTTATCATTGGTGGAAGAGTCATCTTAGATTATCGATGTTTACTATAAAACAAAGTATCATTCACGTGTTTTCGTTGTTTTCAGTTCGTCTGACCAATGCCAAACTCCAGCCTAATGTTGGGTCTGTGGAAATTTTTTCGGACCACCGCTGGGCAGAGGTATGTAGTGACCAGTCCTGGGATAATACAGACGCAGGCGTGGTGTGTCGTCAACTGGGATACACCTCCGGCCGAGCTCTGTCAAACGTGTCGAAAGACTCGGCCGAGTACGAAATCTGGATCCTTTACAAGAAGGCCTACTACAACTTCACTTGTCTTGGCAACGAGACGACGCTGATGAACTGTAACAGGAAGCGATTCTCGTCGTCAACCTGTCATCACAACTTCATGGCAGGGGTCATCTGTTACGACACCCCACTCGATATGGTCAACAACAGTAAGTCCAAGGTTGACTGCTATCAAAAATTTGTGATCATGATCATTAGCAACTGGAAAATGAAAACTAAAACTGAACTGCACTAGTTGTCAATTCTAGTTGAGATTCAAATGAATAACACTGTCTTCAATAATGTACACACGAAGAAACTATAGATTGTTAATGTAATATTTGCTAAATCATAATATCTGAAGTTTAATGAATGTAATGCTTCTATGCTACTTCAGCGTTTGACATCAGGTTATCGAGCGGCCATTACGGTACAGTAGAGGTGCACCACCTAGGAGTATGGGGCCACGTATGTTACAATGACTGGGGATCAATAGAGGCGTCACTTGCCTGCACCCATAAAGGCTATGCGGGCGGAGTAATGTACGGAACCAATATTACAGTAGACAAGATCGGCTGGATGCAACACCGTCATTGTGACGTCAGCGACACGTCATTGGAAGCATGCCTCGAAGATGAACAAGGCGTGTGGACACCAGTGTTTAACTGTAGGGCTGCATCCGTCCTTTGCTACAAGCACTCAGGTAAAGTTACAACTTTAGGGCTGTCTCCACTAAAATGATCAAGTAAACTTGCAGTGGTACGCTTCCTTCATCTTCTGCTATAGGTAGGGAAGTTACAGTTGTAAGGCAGTCTCCATCTTCTGTTATACACAAGTAAAATTACAACTGATGTGCTTCCTCACTATTCCACCGACACCGAAGTAAAGTTTCAAATGTAAGACTGTAATACTGCATCCATCTTTTGCTACGTTCTCTGTATAAACAATAACGTAAAGTTAGTTTCACCTTATTTATACCATTTATTAGATTGTTAATATGTTAGTTAAAAAGAAACAAATCAAATGAGAATCATGCACTCAAATAAATACAAGAGCACACACGATAAACTGAACGTACCATAGGCATATGACTTTGATGTTGTCTACCTTTATGAATAGACCTTAAATTTGTCCAACTTCTGTTATTGTCACTGTAATTCTCTTGAAGCTCCCGAGATCAGCATTACAGACAAACATATCGGACGTGTGGACATCACCTATGACGGCCAGATTGGAACTATATGTGGTACGGACAGGTGGACAGACAAGAACGCCGCCGTGTTGTGTCGCCAGAAGGGCTTCGCGGACGGTCACGTCTTGGCTAGTGTCCCCAAGGGGAAGGGCAAGTTTTATATGTCTTCGGTGACATGTAAGGGTACTGAGAAGTCTCTACTGTTGTGTAACAACACCGGTTGGGAGGAAGCTACGGACCCCGAGTGTCTTTCCCATTCACTTGATGTTGGCGTGGAGTGCTACAGACACAGTGAGTACTAAGTTTGAACTTTGCAAAGAAAGATAAATCATTCTCCATTTGTGCAAATCTTTGTCTCAATGTATTTGAAAGCAAGTGGGATTACTTTATACATTAAAACATTGAATTAAATGTTTCCTTTAGTTCGTCTCAGTCGTCAGATGTCGGCGTCCACTGGGTTCGTAGAGGTGTACCAGAACGGGTCGTGGTTTGGACTGTGTGGGTCGGGATTCACTGACGTCAGCGCCAGGGTAGCATGTGGCCAGCTGGGATACGAGAACGGGAAAGCGCTGCCCCAGGGTGGGTACGGCAAATTCTACTTCAAGATCGTTAGAGCCGGTCTTAATTGTACCGGGGGTGAGAACTCAATCCTCGACTGTCCCTACAACAAAGACGCCGTCTGCGCAAACCGATACCATGGATACGCCGTGGTGTCCTGCTTCAATGGATCAGCATCGCAAGGTACCAAACCATTTAATATATAGAGCAATGCTTGTTTAAAGTAAATTATCATCATTCCATATTTAATCACAAACTGTACGTACTTATCTATTATTGTTTAATAGCGTGACATCAGTGTCAATCGTGTTTGTTACATTATATCCCACGAACTCAATTCCATGACTGAGCAGACTAACTTTTCTTTCAGACGCCATGATCTCGCTTCAATCACGTGAGCCAGGGAAGACTAGTTATGGTCGGTTGTCTGTGTTCCGGTACAACGTGGCCGGCCAGGTATGCTCCTCCTTCTGGCTAGACACCAACGCCGACGTGTTGTGTCGCAGTCTTGGTTACAAGGGCGGCAGGGCTACCAACTACCACCGGGACCAAGGCGTACCCATCGTGGTGACGGACTTCATGTGTAAGGGCACAGAGTCCGCGCTTACAGAGTGTAAAGAAGAGATGGGTATCTGCTACAGTAACACTGTGGCTGGAGCCGTGTGTTATAACCAGTATGGTAAGAACTAGATCAGGGTATTATTTACACAGTTCCGGGTTGTACATCTAACTTCAAATTACAGTCCTATGGTTATGTTGCTGTGAAGGTTGCATTGACTAAAGTTAGATTTTTAACTGGACTGAAATAGGTAAACCCTCAAATACTTAACGCTCTATTTGATATGTGTTAAATTCCTCTCATTTTTCATTTGACGAAACAATGACGAAATTTTAATTTATGGTGTAATGTTGATGATTTTCACTAATTGAGCTGCCAGCAACCCCTACACCTACTTATAACTGTATATCTCTTAATTTCTAACGACATTTTAATGTTTCCTTTAGTTTGATGTAATGCAATATTAGAAGAATTCGAGCTTTACATCATGGAAAGTAAGCTGAGTTTAACAACATACTTGTTATCGCATGATAGTCAACATTTTATAATATTTATCCGACAAGAATGTTATTAAATTATCAGATATAATTTTGTGGTACTTTTTGGTCGATATAATGCTCCAAATTGTTTCGTTCAGGTGTATATACGTATTTTTAAGTTATAACTGAGGTTCATTTGTAACATTTCTGCAGATCTCAAGGTGAAGCTTGTAGGTGGCGATCATTACTTTGGACGAGTTGCCATGACAATAGATGACGTGGAAGGCTTGGTATGTGATCGGAGCTGGGGTCAGAACGAGGCTGATGTGGTTTGCAAGGAGCTTGGCTTCGTCAGTGGGGAACCCTATGAGTAAGTTGTGCTGTAGAGCGCTCTTTTCATTTATATTGTCAGGGTCGGTGGTTAAGAGGATATAACTCAGGTGAATATAATCTCCGGACATAAGGAGTACACACTCTTTTAATGTCCAACGAGAACCCCGCCACATCTGTAGGCATAACAGAATAAGTGACTTGATGTACCAAGTTACACAGTAGTAACAGTCACCTAATATGGAGGTCCCTGATCAAATCCAGGGGGCGACTGTGTCCCGTACAGAATCCTGAAAGGTGACTTATAACGTGGCCACTGTGTAGGCTATCAATATATGTCTGTATTTTGTATTTCAGCGTGGCTACAAGTAAAGGCGAGGTGTTTCTGTCAGACGTATACTGTACCGGAACAGAGGCCTCCCTCATCGAATGCCTGTCCAGCGGATGGCGCTCCACAGACAGACAGTCCTGTGGGACCGGATATAACTCTGTTGGAGTGTACTGCTTCGGCAACGGTAGGCCATGACTTAACAATGACACACACTGCTACTGTCAATTAATCTCAACTAATGTACATCACATCCACTCTAAATAACATTTTACACTCATTACATGTGACGTATCATGGACGTATTCACACAGGAGTTTTATAACAATTTTTCCTCGATTTTAGTGCGTATCGTAGGCGGAAAGAAGACGCCGACTTTCTTGGCAGGACGGGTGGAAATGATTCCTGCTAATATGACACGCTGGGTGAGCGTGTGCGCCGACGGATTTCACCAGACAGAGGCAGAAATAGTTTGTCGGGAAATCGGTTTTAGTTCGGCACAGGTCCTGGCTCCAGGTTCGTTCGGCTCCATCAACTCCCTGAGTTATGTTTCCAATACGAAGTGTAATGGATCGGAAAGCTCTTTTCGAGACTGCGTCAGTGACACTCAAGGAATATGTGTGTCTCCCTCCTATAACTACGCAAGCATTCTTTGTACCAAGGCGGATGCAGACCCAGGTAGGCGGCATTCTGAATGTCTCCAAATAACAAGTTCATATTGATGGGAATCCAACAGATTTAAATATTAACTCATCCTAATGTAAAGAAATACGCTTTAGTTTATACTTAATCACACACAGATATGATTATCTCCTCATCAAGGGCAGCTTATTGCAACACTAATTTAATAAGAATATCAGAGTCAAATCATCTCATTGTTCTAGTCAGCCGAATGGAGTATATTTTAATGTCTATCGTCATGGCTTGTTACCATCCAGTGTCTAAATGTAGAAAATGGTCAAAACGGTAGACACACAGACTATATAAGTAAAACACGAACGTAAGGAAGTGTTATAATAACGGCGACTGAAGATTTTAATGTTGTTAATGTATACTCATCCTAGGAAACAAAAAGAAATGCATGAAATAATACCATATATTAAATGTAACTTATATTTAATGAGATATATCACGCTGAAATATATCTAGATGACAACATATAAATAGTATGTTATATTGGTCACAGATACGAAGGTATACCTGACAGATGGGTACCATGGAATGGTGTTGGTAGAAAGGTACGGTATCAACGGCACCATCTGTGCGGATGGCTGGGACGAGAGCGACGCTAATGTCACGTGTCGGTCGTTTGGGTACGCAGGGGGCGTGGTGCTAGGTCCTCCCGAAGTTTACTCACGAGGTATGCCCGTCTGGTATACTGACTTCCAGTGTGTCGGTACGGAGAACCACCTGACTGATTGTGATGTCAATACTTCCATCCCTCTTAACTGTATGCAGTCCATCAAAAACGCCGGCGTTCTCTGCTACAACGGAACAGGTAATGTGATGTAGAGCTATGCACTCGTAACATGTTAAATTATTCTCGTGAAGTTAGGTATATCCGAATTATAAACAAAGTTTATTTTTGGATTTTTTTTTATTCAAAATAAAAAAAATGAAATATCCAAAAGAAATTTCAGCTGTTTTGACAACATAAGCTGTACCCTGGACACTTGTTACAGTCTTTGTTATTGCACTATGAATACACCCTTGCGAAATATAGATACATTTTAATGATATCTTCCAACATCTCTTTGCAGGCGTACAGGTTCGTCTTGCCGGTGGAAAGCGACACTACGGTCGCGTGGAGGTGTCATACGACGGTACCTGGGGTACAATCTGTGACTATGACTGGACCAAATATGATGCAAGAGTCCTCTGTAAGCAGCTCGGCTTTTCAGATGGCCGATCCTACAAACAGTCGTACTACGGCCCGGGTACAGGTCCTGTGTACCTGTCTGGGATGTTCTGTGACAGTTCCGAGTCGTCCCTACTCTCTTGTCCCAGCCGGGGTTGGAACAAGGCCCAGTATTACTGTAAACAGCACGGCCATGATGCTAGTGCCTATTGCTACCGGCCAGGTTTGTCCATTTACAGTTGTACGCAATATAGCCAACAAGGTAATATAATCTGTAACATCATCGGATTACGTATCAGCAGCGAGTTTGTAGGGAAAACTGAAAACATAATTATGGTGATAAAGATTTAAATCTAAAAAGCACATTGAAGACACGACTGAAAGCTATTTTTAACAAACCAGTAAAAAAACAATCGTTTTCTCAAGCTCATCCCTCTTAATTTTACCTTAGTCTTGGCTGTATTTTTCCTTAGTGAGCAGTGTCCCAGGGGAGGACTACGGTGGACTCCAGGTGTGGAATAAGAACTCCTACGGTATGGTATGTAGTGACGGGTTTGACGACCTGGATGCTACAATGGCCTGTCGGGACATGGGCTACGGTGTCGGGGTCAGTCTGTGCTGCTCAGCGTTCGGCGACGTGGACTTCATGCTGGCTAGAACCAACATCCAATGTACTGGTCGTGAGGTCAGTCTAGCAGACTGTCCGTCTGATAAAGGGGTTGGCTACTGTGATAGCGGCACGTATGCCTCCGTCGTATGCTCGGACAAGGCGCCTTCACTAGGTAACCTTTTGTCCACTCTTGTAAAACATACTTAGTAAATTAATGTAATAGTAGTCTCATGCATTTATAGTTTAATATTATTAGTCCAATGCATTATTGTGTGTAATATTTGTTGTAGTATTTCTATTTTGCAATATTATATTCGTATTTGTATGATAAATTCTTTATTGTTATCAGTCTCTATCCCAGTCTGTCTGTCTATGTAACGTCTATCAATAATCGAAAGTTTTTAACTGATATTTAACTACATCTACATCGCATGATAAAATCTGGGTTATTCATTTGACATTCACATAATTTTATTTAGTATATAGCGATACGTTGACAACGATTTGGTTTTCCTTGATAGAATTATCCTGACACCATTTATTCTAGACTATTACTTTACTTCTAGGCAGGTACTATACTACTTTACGAATTCAAAACTAATTGATCTTGAAAAAAAACAACCTTGTATGACGCAAATTATTCTATGGAGTCGAGAGGATGTTTTAATATTTTAAATGGACATTCTTTTTCTTTTTCTTTACTACTGATGTAATAAAAGAACATATTATCAAAGAATAGTAGTACAATATTGATGTTACCGATCAGGTTTACCACTCAAACAATTCTTAACTGTAAAAGGTCCCCAAGGAGAAGGTGTTATTGTAATAAACACGATACACATTTGTTTCTTTATGTTAAAAATATTTCTGGTAAATAAAAAATAAATAAAAAAATATGTTCAAATTTTATTTCCTGCTAAAATGCCACACCTGTTTGTAGGTTACGGCCTGACGCTAGAGAACGGTCACTTCGGGCGAGTACAGGTCAAGTACTTTGACCACGACGGTTACATTTGCGCTGAAGATTTTGACGACAATGACGCCAACGTGATATGTAAACAGGCTGGGTTCCTTGGCGGCTTCAGCTACCTGGCTAAGACCAAAGAAAAGTGGGTTCTCTTCAGCAAGGACATCCGCTGGCTAAGGAACCTCAATTGTAACGGCACGGAAACGCACATGGAACAGTGTGGGAAACTTAACTGGGGAAACGTCGGGAAATGTTCACAAAAGAAATATGCTGCGGCATTCTGCTATTTAGATAAAGGTAACGTATATACACTGTCAAGTCAAGGATTGGCTTAGTTTGGTTTAATTTTGTTTAACGTCCTATTCACAGCTAAGGTCATTTAAGGACGTGCCTCCATGTGTGTAGTGTATGCGTGCTTGTGTGTGTGTATGCAGGATACATTGTATGTTGGTGTTTTGCCACTTTGTGATAGTTCGGATCTGATGCCGACTTTATAGTGCTAACTCACTGAAATGCCATGTCGAAGGCTTCCAGCACAGCATTCCTCCCGGTCTCATTATACTGACAACTGGTGAACCAGTTCCTGTTTTTTTCTTCTAAAATGCTGAACGTTAAACAAGGATAAGAACTACCATTTTATTGACTTTGGTATGTCCCGGCCTGGGGACAGAACCAATTGCCTTCCTCACCTGGGCGAACGCTCAACATTAAGGCTTAAAGTAAGATGTTGCCAACCAAGGCGCTAGGAAATAAAGGGTAGTTAAAAATAGAAAGAAAGATAAAGATACCAAATTTTGCAATGGGTGCACCAGATTTATTTTGGTCGCTTTTGTGTCCCCAAATAGAGGACACCAAAGCAAATCCCCAATTCTGCAGGGGTTTCATCACCACTCGCCTCCTACTATACATGCAGTGGGTGCAAGCCAAGAAAATCTTTTGGAATTATTGAATTTTAGCTGAACATATTGCAGTTCTGCGAATCGTATTTTTACGGACTTATTTTTAATGACATATATCTTCTTTGTAAAACGTTTAACGATTCTGCAAATAACTGTTTGCATGTCGTGTTCCAGACAAAGTTGGTCACAAACTAGAGTTGGTGGGTGGTAAAACACCGTCCGAGGGACTGGTCAAGATCAAGATCAACGGCACCTGGGGTACCATGTGTGCCTTGTCAGTAGGGAATTCGGAGGCCACGGTCCTGTGTCGTCAGAAGGGATATACGTATGGAGTGTACCTAACCTCCAGTACCACGGTAGATGAAGGCCCGGTCTGGATCAGTGCCATCACATGTCTTGGTAACGAGTCGTCTATTTACGAGTGTATGGTGGATTCGTTGGGTGAGGAACCTATGAGAACTTGCTCGTCTCATAAGCACGACGTCAGTATCAAGTGTTACAGCAACGGTTAGTACAGACATAAATAGATAACTCCGTGTATTATATAGATGAGAGCCAATCACTCTCCTTCAGGATTATCTCGTTTTGAACGTAACGCCTTTTGCCATTCCAAGAGCGTCGAAATTATATCATAAACAAACATCAATTTCAAACTTACAATACAAGATGGTCATATATTTATTTCCTTCATATGTCGATCAAAATATCTTACACGGTTTTCAAGTTACAATAAAATCCGTATGCTATAATCTGAAACGTATTTTTCTAATGTAATTTTCACTCTGCATTTTTATTTTACAAATTTTGTCTTTCTCCCAAATCATGTGCAGTATTAACTGTTATAGTGTGCTTATTTTGGACGCTTTGTCTATCCTATACAGTGCGTCTGTCCGGATCAGCCAAACTGTCTAACTACGGACAGCTACAGGTCTACAATGGGACAGGCTGGTACTCCATCTGTGACAAGGGCTTTGGTGAGCTGGATGCCCGAATAGCTTGTCAGTCTATGGGTTACCAAGATGGGCGTGCGCAATGCTGCTCTGCACTTGGTAACAAGTTCCCCTCTGCAAGACCCGTTGGTATCACTGACGTACAATGTATACTGGAAAACCGGAAGTTTAGCGACTGTAGCCATAGCTACGGAACTTGTGAGACCGGCCATTATGTGACACTTGTCTGTTTGGATAATGACACAGCGAACTACAGTAAGAATATTGTTGTATAAGATATCTTTTCGACAATTGTATTAACCCCCTTTTTTCATACAAACTTGTTACCAAATCAATATCTTAGTGAACAGTATTGCTTTATATAGAGATAAAATAAACGGTCGCTTTGACTGCCCCAATGTAGAATACTGTGTATTATAAGCGATGATATTAATTATAATGGTCTCATTTTGCAATAAGAAAATTAGGCTGGACTTTTGAAAAAAAAAGCTTACAAAATACATCCGGCCAAAAGTTCACCTATTTCGCTGCAAGCAAAGGAAAAGTAAATCCATTTGCTCAGTTGTGTTGGAATACCCCCCCCTCCCCCATAAACATCAGAGTTTTGATTGTCTTGTCGATTAAGCATATTGACATACTTATGTATTATTACCATTATCTGTGTAGGCATGGAAGCTCGCGTGCCAGATTCCCTTTTTTACGGCCCTGTAGAGGTGCAGCGGTATGGGATTTGGGGGTCAGTTTGTGACACAGACTGGGACTACAGGGACGCAACGGTGCTTTGTAGAGAGCTTGGTTACAAGAGCGGTAACGCATCCAAGGAGGCGGCGAGTTCAGACATCCCAACGGTACTGGGCAGTGTTCACTGTAATGGGACAGAGAAGAGGCTCCGTGACTGTCCTATGACTTCCTTCACAGATGACCACCTTTGTAATGGCAGAAACACACGGGCAGCGGTCGTCTGCTCCAAAGATAACGGTTTGTTCTCTTAACTGATATTCGGCTTTCCCCTCTATGTAGTTTCGAACACATATTCATTTTGACCACTTTCCTATGTTTACACACTGCAGTATGTTGTAAGGATGATCAAAATCAAAATACCTTCTTTCTGATTAACACCTCGATGTATTTTATTAAAAATAAATGTCTTGACTGTGATTGAACTAATTCCTCTTGACGTCCTTGTTTTTACATGTGTGGATTATAGGTGGAGTCCAGTTCCGGATTGGTGACGAGGTGGACGGAAGTGGTCGGGCAGAGTTACTGGTAAACGGTCAGTGGGGTTCTGTCTGTAACAGACTCTGGGACGACCGCGACGCCGACGTTTTCTGTCGACAGCTTCCGGACTATGTTGGGGGCATGGAGGTCCGCCCTAGATTGGAAGCTGCGCGTGACGTGAGCATATGGATGACGCATGTCGACTGTCATGGTAACGAAACAAACTTCCTCGACTGTAAGGCGTCCTGGGGCCTGTCCAAGACGAGATATTGTAACCATGGGACTGACGCTGGTGTCGCATGCTTCAAATCAGGTAGGTACACGAATAGTGTTGTAGTTTATTTAGGCTCACACGACAGTGTTAACGGTGGCCACACGGTTGTTTATAGATTAATAAAAAGACATTATTTATTATAAAAAAAATCCCGTCAGTTTTTTAAACATCGGAGACCGATTTCTCTTTTACATGTTGTCTATAAAATAGCTTAAGGATGTATTGCAGAAAGACTTAAATCAGTTCTAGATAAACATAGTGATCAAACAGGTTTTATTTCGAGCAGATATATAGCTGACAATACTTGATTAATTTAGGATGTAATGGATTATAAAGAGGAACAAGACATAACAGGCATGTTACTTTGAATCGACTTCGAAAAGGCTTTTGCTTCTGTATCATGGTCATTTATAAATCATTTTTTAGAATTGTTTAATTTTGGTGAGTCAATTATGCGCAGTGGATAAAAACTTTTACAAATAATATTTCTTCTTTAGTGAAACAAGGTGGAAACTTATCTAAACCCATAAAAGTAGGAAGAGGTTGTCGACAAGGAGACCCGTTATCACCATATATTGTCCTTCTCAGTGCAGAAATGTTAGCAATAAAATTAAGAATAAATAAACATAAAAGGCATCAAAATCAACACTACAGAAATCTGATATCACAATTTTCTGACGACACTTCTCTTATTCTAGATGGTACTGCAATATCACTTAGATATGATATAAAAGAGCTTAATTGTTTCTGGGAAATATCTGGACTTTAATTAAACTAAACAAAAACACAAGTTATATTGATAGGGAATAAAAAGTATAGTACAGAAAAATTAGTCAATAATCTTGCTCTATTATGGGGTTCAACACATTTTAATCTGTTAGGAATTCACATTGATTTGGACCTTACTAAAAAAGTTCAATTCAATTTCAAAGAAAACATTACGAAATCAAAGTCATTAATTAAACAGTGGAATAGACGACAGTATATAACTCCGATAGGCAGGATTATTGTAAAAAAATCTCTGCTTTTACCAATACTTACACATTTGTTCATAGGATTACCTTCTCCTAACCAAAATATTGTGATAGAAATTCAAAAGTCGTTTTTTGAATACAAATAGCTAGAGTAAAAGGAGATGCCATTGTCAAACATTATAAAGAAGTTCAAAATGATTTATATCAAACATTTTGAAATGGCTCTAAAATCAACATGGATAAGAAATATTTGTCTTAAGAATTCAAATTGGCGGACCCTACTATTTAAAACTTTTTTTAAGAATAAACTGTTAACTTTAGGAAATAAATATATTGATTATATTATCAAAAATATACCTCATAACAAATTTTGAATTGATGTTCTTCATGCATGGATTACATTAAAGGGGAAACTTGATATATCTCAGCCTGATCAAGTATTATCTTTACCCATTTGGTATAATGACTTAATCAAAATAGGCAATACTATTGTGTATTATAAACGATGGTTTGATAAAGGTGTGTTTTTCATAAATGATCTAATTAAGGAAGATGGCAGTTTCATTCAACATAAAAAGTTCAATAAAATGTTTAATTTAAATACTAACTTTATTGATTATAATAGTCTCATTTTTGCAATAAAAAAATTAGGCTGGACTTTTGAAAACAAGCTTACACTACCATTGACATCACTTTATATTAATATAATTATCAAACGTAAAAAAGGTACAAAGGATATGAACAATGTGCTGAACAAAAATAGTGTAGTGCCTACAGGTCAAATAAAGTGGAATAATTTATTTGGAAATAAACCAAGTGAGGATTGGAAGAAAATATACAAACTACCATTGGACACTAATACAAATTCAAAATTACAATGGCTGCAATTTAGAATTAATCATCACATTTTAATTACAAACACCTTTTCGTAAAAGATTAATTTGGTTCAGTCTGATATGTGTAATTATTGCTTCATAGAAAAAAGAAACTATTCAGCATGTACTATGGGAATGTAATAAAGTACAAAATGTTATTCTTATTTTCCAAAATTAGATCCAAACTATTTGTAATGTGACTTTTAATGTATGTAAAAAAAGATTTTATTTTTGGGAAAATAACCCAAAATCAAAATCTGAACAACAGGGCAGAAAATGTCATAATTCTTAATATGAAGCACTACATATATTGTCAAAGGTGTTGTTTGCATAGAGCTTTACCTACCTACTCAAATCAGTAAACTGAAAACAGCATACACTATCGAAAGATACATAGCAAAAACAATGTGACAGGGAAGCGTTTTTTTATCAAAGATTTCAGTGCCTCTGAATTAGGTTTTAGATATATATATATAGATAGATAATTTTTTTATTGTTGGTAAGATCATAAAATTATGCATTTGTCTAAGTAATGTAACGTCACAATTTAGCTTGTATTGTTGTTGACGTCATGTATTTATGTGTATGCCTTCTGTGACGTCATAATGCCTTTGCATTATTGATGACGTCAGACTTTCTTGTGTAAACAACTATGACCTCACAATACCTGTTTTCAAAATAAACAGTCTCCTGATGAACGGGGAATCAACCTGAGAAAGGCCTAGAGACGCTATCTCTGTCTTTTGTTCTATTTTTTATATTTAATTCCAACACAAGGATTTCTCAATGTTTTCTTTATATAGATAGATATATAGATAGATACATATACCAAAAAATCATTTGTTTTTTTGTTCTTTTTACTAATTGTTTTCATTTACTGATATATTTACAATCAGTACCCTTTCATGAATAATTATTCCTTCGTCGGGAATCTCTCTTCCTCTCTTCATGATCTTATGTCTCTTATCCCTGTCCCTCTTTTTCTGGATACATTTCTGCTTTTTAACCGAACTATCCTCCAATCCCCGTTTCAATTAATTCCAGCAAATTTATTGTATATTTATTTTTCTAGGCGAATGTTAAGCAAGTTATATTTGTGAACCAAATTTTAAATAAATGTTAAACTGGTTATTTACAAAAGTTTTTATGTGTGAAATTTTGGTGAAGTACATACATTTTAATTCAATGCCTTCTTGTTGAACAGAGTTGCACAAAATATTAATCATTATCAAACTTAAATAAGTATGCTTAATTAAGAAAGTGAAGGACCGTAGCTGATGTTTTCCATCCTCAGACGGTTCCTCATGTATATGATTTGTCTGGAATTAATAATAAAAAAATAAAACAAAAAAATGACAACCATTATTGTTTTTATCTTCAGTGAGATTGAACCGAGGCAACTACAAAAATAACGGTATCTTGGAGGTGTACCAACAAGGATCATGGGGAACTGTGTGCTCGAGTGGGTTCCACCAAACGGAAGCCGGTAAGCATGGCAGCTCATTTATACACCATACCAGTAATGAAAGTGAAATGTCCAGATAATATATTGCACTTTAAACAGCATGTAATGAGTAATGTCTTTCTATTTGTGATGTAGATGTGGCATGTCGGAGTTTGCACGGCTACCAGCACGGTATGCCATTGTGTTGTACTCCGTACGGGTACAGCTTTCGGAACGTCGCTGTGGGCCGGTTTGAGTGTGGGGGACAGGAAAATCACCTGACAGATTGTAATAAGACGCAGGTGTATCGAGAGACCGGATGTCATTCTCAAGACTACACCTCCATCGTGTGTTACAACGGCACAAGAACTAAAGGTCAGTCATTATTGTATGAAATTAAGAAAATAAAACTGGATGGTGAATTAGTGTTTCTTATACCCTATACATAGTTATTACGTCCTGGATCACTTTACCGTGTAAAGGACTTTCCATTGATTTTGATGCCTAATTGTAGTTCCTTTCCTCAAGACTTTTTTGCATGTTGGAGTTATTCTAGTGTCACATAAAAAATTGCAATTTCAAGGTCATTTATTCCAACAAGTAAACTTGTATTATTACCATAGTCATTATTGGAAAATGATTGTTTTAAACCTTTTTCGGAAGAAGTACATAGAATCACATATTGGGATGCATTTTACAGAATTGCGGTTGTTCGAATTGGAATGTATTCCAATAGAAATAAGATAAATCGAAAAAAAAGAAGGATTGAACTCAAGACCTAGACATTGCAAAACCAACATCTTTCAATTTTTCCATACAGAAATGAGCAATTTTAAGCATGACAATGAGTGTCCATTTTATAGGCCGCAAAGTCTATGAAAAACGTTATGGGATAACTTATTCTAAGTAATTTTAAGCCAAAAAACACTTTTTGGTTGCTCAAACTTCTAAATTGAAGGGATGATACTCCAAGTCAATAAAGCTCCAAGTTGAACTATTTTATTACAACAATTATAACTGATACAGTTGAGCCCATTACTTGAATTAATCATGTGTTCCTTTAAACAAATAATAACGTTACGGACGCTTTCCTTGTAGACTACTCCATACAGCTGGTAGGTAGCTCCTCATACACGGGACAGGTGAATCTGACTTACCTAGGAGTGGAGGGGAGGATATGTGTCGACGGCTGGGACGACGCCGACGCTAAAGTCGTATGTCACGAGTTGGGCTACCCTAACGGCATGGCCTACCACCACTACAAGTCCGATCTTGTCTTCTTTGAGTACAGTGGCCCCTACTGGACCTCCAAGGTCAACTGTACCGGAAACGAATCACGTTTATCCGAATGTCCTCATGTAGCTTTAGGGCAGGTCAAGTCCTGCGTAAACAATTCGTATGCCGGAGTCCTCTGCTACAATAACGATGGTAAATATTTTTCTTTTGAAAAGTATTTTCTTAATTTCAATAGTGACATATTTTATTGACATATTTTATCGTTTGCGAGAGAGATCATGCGACATATTCAATGATTTGAATTACTTTTTGAATGAAATGTCTTTCATAGGGGATCAACAGAGTTTCACGTCATATTAAGGTGACAAGTCTTCGCATTACGTCATTAGAAATGTTTAATTAACGATTGATGTCGGTCATACATGGACAATTTCGCTCTACTGAGTGACTTCGGTGCGTTGACACACCAGACTAAGCATATATTGACTTAAGAAAAAACACTGCCGTTTTTTTGCGAACATTGGAGGATTTCTATCTATCTATCTTTGCTTTTCTTAGAAGGTGTTAAACAGTTAAGAGTAAATGATGCAAAACATTATTATTTTGTTTTGTACTCTATTGTATATTTCCAGTGTGATAATTTGGACTGCTATATACTTAAAGTTACATTTTAAACGGAGTTGTTTCCATCACATTACAGGTATATATTATGAGTTGATGGGCGGAGACAACAGGTACGGTTACATAAACGTGTCCGTGCGAGGTCAATGGGGGACAATATGTGGTCGATACTGGGACCGACGAGAGGCCGACGTCTTGTGTCGACAACTTGGGTACAGTACGGGCGATCCGCGGTATGGTCCCTACAATACCATGGCAACTGGGACGGTGTGGGAGGCCAACTTTCGGTGTCGAGGGAAAGAGGATAGTCTTAACAAATGTTCACACGAGGGTTGGATGGTTAGTCAATCACAATCCTGTCTCAGTCACAAGGACGACGCCGGAGTCTTCTGTTACACAAACGGTAAGGAACCATTTTGTTTATCCGTAATTGATCAAATGTACACCTGTGTTGAGTTTGATGCATCTGTTATATTTTCTTTTCAAAATCATCTTAAATATAATTGTTCCTTCCCCGCAAATAAAATGTGTAAAACGAAATACCTTATTCTTCTTGCAGTCAAATTATCTAACGGATTTGGAAAGTTAGCACATACAGGCGCAGTCATGCTTTATCGAAATAACACGTGGCTGCGCGTGTGTGACACTGGTTTTAACGATCAGTCTGCGCGCCTGGTCTGTCAGGAGCTTGGATACACCGATGGACGTGCAATGTGCTGCTCAGCATACGGTCGGACAACAGAACAGGTCCAGACCAACTACACGCTGCGGTGCTCTGGGCAGGAGAAGTCTGTTCCAGAGTGTTTGAGAGAAGAGAAGTGTGTGAGCGACCAATACGCATCCGTCGTCTGCTTCCACAAGGAGGAAGCCGGTAGTATAAACGAAGGTATGTCTTCTAAACCAGTTGGAATCAAATAATAATGCAATCCTTTTGACAAGTGGTTTAAAAGATACTGTCATGACTGATAAAAATGAAATGCACGCTTTATGAAATTCTAACCTGAACTTTGTCCACTGTGTGACAGGAAGCTACACGTTTAAGCTGGAGGACAAGAGTAAGGGTCAGGTATTAGTGGATCATCTGGATGTGCAAGGTCGCATCTGTGGCTCAGATTGGGACGACAACGACGCCAAGGTAGTCTGTCGTCGCCAAGGTTACCAGTCCGGCATTGCATACCTCCACGACGAGAACTCCGTGATGGAGGCCATGAGGGGGCCATACTGGCTCAGTGGATTCAACTGTACCGGGAACGAGGCTTCACTGATCAACTGTCCCCACAACACACAGTTGTCACTAGGAAACTGCACAACGGCACACATAGCGTCTGTTCTCTGCTACAACGAAACAGGTTAGTTAATCCACAAACAAATTCATTTAAATTCATTAAATAAGGGAAGCCAAAAAGTCAAACATCAGGAAATAATGAAAGCACACATTTATACTGTTACCTATGTTTGATTAAGAATCAATATTTTCATAATTTTATTTCTTGATGCAGGTCTTACGTATCGTCTAAATGGTGGCGGAAAGAATTATGGGCGCGTGGAGATCGCCATAGATAACACGTGGGGAACAGTGTGTGACGCGTACTGGGACAATCGGGAGGCTAACGTATTGTGTCGACAGCTCAACTTCACGGAAGGGGTGGCCATTGCCGGGGCCGCCTACGGCATGGGCAAGGGTGCCATCTGGCTGAGCCATCTTCAATGCACTGGACGAGAAGATAGAATCCACCACTGTCCACACAGAGGCTTCAACGACCAGTTCACCGAAGCCAGCTGGTTACTTCCGGTCATTTGTGACTCTCACAGAGACGACGCTTCAGTTTTCTGCTACCAGAACGGTCAGTTATATTTTTCTTGCATTAGCAATTCAATTGGTCATTAGTCTAAAAAATGTATATCGGTTGTTCACGAATTTTTAATCAAAAGTCAATAAGAAGAAGACGATATATTATAGTATAGTAAACTAATGAATCATATTCATTCTTACCTTGTTCCAGTGCGTCTAAATGAAGGTTACAACTCCCCAATGGGTGGTCTGGAAATTTACAAGGACGACCAGTGGTACGGTGTGTGTGACGAGGGCTTCACCAACTTAGAGGCGAAAGTTGCCTGTATAAGCCTGGGACTGAACTACGTGGACGGACGTGCCATAAACGGATCGGCCTTCGGTAACCTGACGGGACCCATAGGATTCACGCACATGAAGTGTCGTTCGGGTGCAACAGACATAACAAAGTGCTATAGCACGTCCAATGGCACGTGCAAAAGCAAAATGTATGCATCCGTGTATTGCAGTAACACCACTGTCGTCGACACGGGTATGTGACATGTTATATGTATTTGTATACAGCTATTCAAGCAAATCTTATCGAGAGGAGGTGATCTCATGATTACGATGCAAGACATGACATATTTATATTCATTTCTATCTAAACGTATGTAATGTACTCTATGTATGTCGATTTCATAAAAAAATCATTGCTTATAATTATTCCTGCTAGATTTTAAAGTGTCCTCTTCATGTTGGTAGTTAGATAATTCTTACAGTTACTTCGTCGATCGAAAAAATGATGTGTCAAGTTAAGATGTATATGAATAAACACACGTTTTATAAACATAATATGGTTTTCTACAATAGGTTTTAAGGTTCGGATTGCCCCTGATAGTCTAGCCAGCCAGGTTCATGGTATTCTGGAGGTACGACAGAACGGAATCTGGGGCCGCGTGTGTATGCACGAGTGGGATGACCGGGACGCTAATGTGGCCTGTAAACACCAGGGGTACGCGGGGGGTCTGGCATACCTCCACATCATGAAGAACCGTCGCCCAATCATGTTGCGCAGTGTCCGATGTAAGGGTACGGAGGACAAACTAACGGACTGTCCCCACAACCCACATCCGGACCTCGACAACTGTAATTTTAATTCCAACGACGCAGGCATACTGTGTTACAAAAAAACGGGTAAGTTCTTTGGTTTTAAGGACTGTTGGTTGAGTCATTTGCACTTGCCTTCTTTTATTGTTTGTCTCTATTCGTTCTCTGTACCAATTGCATAACCATACAGCATCTTGATTGTTTGTTTCTGTGTTAAGATCATGTCAATCAATTGAGCAAATGCAGGTGATTATAAAGCGATACACACGGTTCTAGGTAACTTAGATCCTGTTGTCGTCGTTTTGCAATGACGATGAATGCATACTGTGTCCTTGTGTATCATGTTTATTTCATAAGTATATTATTGTCCAACTTATCTTTTCTCCAAGCAGGTATGAAGTACCGATTGAATACCCGTAGGCAGCAGCCTTCGTCGGAGGGTCGCGTGGAAATCTTCTACGACGGTGTGTGGGGCACAGTGTGCTCATGGTCGTGGCAGTCGGCCGATGCTAAGGTATTGTGTCGTCAGCTCGGATACCAGGACGGAATCGTCAGCTATAACGTGGAAAAGTCACTGCCCCAGATCAACCGGTGGGTGACCGGCTTCTTCTGTCAGGGCAACGAGAAGACGATGATGACTTGTCTTAACACTGGTTTTAACTCCTCCTTCCTGGACGATCTCTGCATGTTTAACGAACCAGGGGCATACTCGGCGTGTTACAACCGTACAGTTAGTAAGTACATGGGATATAACTTCTACTTTGAAATATTGTTGAAGTCCCTTATGATATAAATACATGCATTTATTTGCATTGCGATCGGATGTTTTTCGTTTTTTCTAGATTGCTTAGATGTTTCCCAATCTCCTGTTCTTGTCTTGCCTTATTGACCTTTAAATCATTAGATGCTAACGGGATATTGATGAAATTGTTTTGTTGTTATCCCTAGAACCAACAAGCATTCATCTGATCGGCGGCCCGGATAGGCTATCAGGCCGGGTGGAAGTTTATATAAAGGGACCTAACCAGTGGGGCACCATTTGCGATGATTTCTGGGACGACTTAGCGGCTAATGTTGTATGCAGACAGCTCAACTTCGCAGGTGGAAAGGCTGTGAAGGACGCTGCGTTCGGGAGAGGGACCGGACCTATCTGGTTCGACAATGTGCGTTGCCTTGGTAACGAGAGCACCATTTTTGAATGTAGTCATCGAGGAATAGGAACACACAACTGTAACCATACCGAAGACGTGGGCGTTATGTGCTGGGGTAGGTATCTTCTCATTGTCTACTTGGCATCTCTTGTGTAGTGCCAACCCGTTTTCCTCCACTGTCATGTATTCAAATCAAGTTTTTAGATAATCATTTGAGTTAAGTGTTCGATACTAGATTGAAGTATCCTTTAACGAGATAAACATATCATACACAAAATCAAAGGTATAGTAATTACAGAAAAGTTGTATTTCTCATTAAATGGGTTACATTTCTACAGAAAGAAAAAAAAATACATACAAATATACTGTTTGTACAATGTATATATTCAGAAATCGGCAACGGTGAATAGTTTTAGAAAACTTTTTGTTTCACTGTAAATCAATATTGAAAGTCTGCGATGTTGTTTCAGACCATCCATTGACCACCATGAGCCCGCAGACTGCAATGACAACAACAACATCCTTACCCAAGACAACCAGAGCACCAACAACAACAGCATTACCCAAGACAACCAGAGCACCACCAACAACAGCACGAACAACCACCACGACCAGGACAACACCAAGGACCACAACTAGACCAACGATTCTACCTTTTTCTACCACATCCACACCCACGACAACCATCGTCACTACCACAACACCTAAACCTACCACTACCACATCAACTACAACAACCTCTACAACCACCACATCCACCACACTACCACCCTCCACAACTACCACTACCATTACAAGTACTACCACCACCACGAGTGAACCTACCATTGTTACTACTGAAAACGTCACTATAGACCGGAACTTGACGGTGAGCCCCCACAAATCTGAGCAGTCGGAAGTGTCTGGTGGCGCCATTGCTGCGTTTACAGTTGTTATTATCGTCATTCTCACCATAACTATACTGGCAGTGGTGTGCTTTGTTAAAGTCAGAAAGTTACGAAAAGCTAAAGTGCCACATGAGCGTTTTCACGACGATATTATCGAGCATTCTCAGGATGGCAGTTTAGCCATGAGTAACCAGATGTATGATGTAACTGTGCAGCCATCGGCTAATGGTTACCATGGGGACGCACAGAAGGACAACAACGTCACGTTGTCCAGTAATGGCGATGCTGTTTACACAAAGCCTAGTGCTGGGCAGAGCGACTCCTCTCACGCATTCGCCAATCCTCTCTATGATCAAATGAAAACCGAAAATATTTCTGGGAATAAGTTAGAAGCTTTACCTGAAAATAAAGAATTAGAACTTCATATAGTGGACTCGCATGCCTGATAGTCACTCCAGGACTGACTAATTGTTGATTTCATGTTTGTTAACAGAGTTGTGATGGACATTTGTTTACTTATTTGAGTGTTATTGTTTAAGAATTCGGACCACTGTTACATTGTGTGCTAATGTGAGACCAGTCAGTGTTACACGTTTTCCCTACATCATATATTTTCAGATTTATCACCACTTGGCAACATTGCACTGAGGTATTGTTGAAGCGAGCCTAGCTGTCAGTACTAACTACTGCAGTCTCTGTTCCTGTATATATTTATATCATAATATCTAACTGATTGTTATTCACAGTCTCAAATACGTCAATATAAATGTGATTTTCTTTAATATGTTGTTAAATATTATAATTTTATATCATATCTGCTTGATAAAGGCACGTGTGTCGCCATAGTGATTGTAGAAAGTGTGTTTGCTGTAGTGTTTTATGGGGAAGTTGGGGGAGTGAAAAGTTGTGCTATGAATATAAGTTTAAAAGAAGTAGTTTTGCTGTATTTTTCCTATTACTCAAAACAAATGAACGAAAATACTCGGTTTTTTTTTGCGTTGATTAAATAAGCGATAAAATATCCTCACGCAAATTTTTAATCTATAGCTTATATTAAGTCCAAGCTATAAATATGACTTTTCTTAGTTATTAACATAATGATGGATTTCTTTTACATAAACTTATAGCAGTGAATGAAAGCAATCCGATTTTTTAAACTTTTTATATCACTTATTATACATATAAGTGTATCCAATCGAATTTAAATATTGCATTATGGTAATATAAAGGTCAAGGCAATAACGAAACCTAAGCAAAAAAATTGTTAACGAATGTGGTCAATCATCGAAGTAAGCTGAACAATGTTATAACATTGTCACACGCACACTATAACTACAGGTTGTTGTTATCTGTCGTGTCATGTTTTCGGTTAAACTATCATAATGTGCTTTTGTTGTAGTTGTATAAACTAAATATTTTCTTTCATCTCATTCTGACGCTGTTCTTTCTCTGTGATCATGTAATGATACCAGTTCCGTACCATTTTATAACCACACTAGGTTTTGTTTGGTGTGTTGTTTCTATGTCGACCACGGGTAAGCATTATTTTGATTTTCTAAAACCATTTTCACGTTTGAAATGTTACATTACGCCGTACATTATGTTACTATGCATGAGAGGTAAGTTTTCAGTGGATACTGCTGAAATGATAAGTGAACCTATTTCTTTGGTTGTGATATGTGCTCTTCAAACATTCCATTCCATTTACATATTGTATATTAATGGTATGACTCGGTTTTTTCACATCCTTTGTTCATCAGTTAATAATTCCACATGTATTCATGTATTATGTTTGAGAGGTGAACACTACTTTCACTTTGTTATTGGATCATGTATACCTTACAGACACGCACATTAGTTTTCTAATGCAATTTCTACATGATACCGATTTCTACATGATACCGATTTCTTTTTCTTTTTCTTTGGACCCAGTTCCAGTTAAACGTATTCCTTAAATTTATCTCAATTGATGATATGTACTTATAGCGACATTTTACGCTTTGCCGATAAAGCTTTTTTGTTTAGACAGTATGCATTTGCCTACACACAACCCTATCATGTCTGCAGCAAGCTTGTGATATTAACTTATGATAATGACTGTAACGAGCTTGTGATATTAACTTATGAATAGCACTGATGACATGTGTAATAAACTATTTTAGATATTGAAATGTTTTTGATTTGTTATCTTTATAGCTGCTTCACTGGTGGGACGTTTTAGTATATGACAGATTTTTTTTCATGCGTCAGTTCATGTACACATGTGCAAATGCATTAAAGTAAACATAAAAAAACAAAGATGTATACATATACATGTAGTATAACGGATCAACATACATGGACACTTTCGGAAATCATGATCTTTGATACAATATTTATTGACCTACAAAAAAACCGTATATTTTGATTATTTCATTATATTGATTATTTTAATGTTGTTTAAATTTTATCAAAGAAGAAGAGTTTTGGATCGTTGCTTCAAGATAAATTGCTAACGTTCAAGACAACTTGCCAATTATTATCGTTCGTTTAAACTACTTGTGAGGTAAGTGTTATAAAATGACAGTTATGAAAGAAGAAAACTATTTTGTCCAATCACAATCATGTTTAGATCATGAAACTAATATCACTACTATCCCATGGGGAAGTTTGTAATTCATGTCCGCGAAACAAAATCGCACATTCATAAAGGAGTTATCCCCCTTTGAACAGTAATTACTATCAGATTATTTTCTCTGATGCTGTTGTCGAGTGTTGTTGGGTTGTTGCATGTTGACCCTGTGTTATCTGTTGCATGTTAACCCTGTGTTATCTGTTGCATGTTGACCCTGTGTTATCTGTTGCATGTTGACCCTGTGTTATCTGTTGCATATTGACCCTGTGTTATCTGTTGCATGTTGACCCTGTGCTATCTGTTGCATGTTGACCCTGTGTTATCTGTTGCGTTTTGACCCTGTGTTATCTGTTGCATGTTGACCTTGTGTTATCTGTTGCTTGTTGACCCTGTGTTATCTGTTGCATGTTGACCCTGTGTTATCTGTTGCATGCTATTATTTGCAATTTGTGTTTACGTTACATTGTATAATATAATTTTACGCTGTGGTATATTTCCCCTGGTGTGTTGACGCTGTGGTATATTTTCCCCTTGTGTGTTGACGCTGTATTATATTTTCACCTGGTGTGTTGACGCTGTGGTATAATTTCCCTGGTGTGTTGATGCTGTGGAATATTTTCCCCTGGTGTGTTGACGCTGTGGTATATTTTCCCCTGGTGTGTCGACGCTGTGGTATATTTTTCCTGGTGTGTTTACGCTGTGTTATATTTTCCCCTGGGGTGTTGACGCTGTGGTATCTTTTCACCTGGTTGTGTGTTGACGCTGTGGTATCTTTTCACCTGGTGGTGTGTTTACGCTGTGGTATATTTTCCCTGATGTGTTGACGCTGTGGAACATTTTCCCCTGGTGTGTTGCCGCTGTAGTATATTTTCCCTGGTGTGTTGGCACTGTTGTATATTTCCCCTGGGGTGTTGACGCTGTGGTATCTTTTCACCTGGTGGTGTGTTTACGCTGTGATATATTCCCCCTGGTGTGTTGACGTTGTGTTATATTTTCCCCTGGGGTGTTGACGCTGTGGTATCTTTTCACCTGGTGGTGTGTTTACGCTGTGTTATATTTTTCCTTGGTGTGTTGACGCTGTGGAACATTTTCCCCTGGTGTGTTAACGCTGTGTTATATTTTCCCCTGGTGTGTCGACGCTGTGGTATATTTACCCCTTGTGTGTTGACGCTGTATTATATTTTCTCCTGGTGGTGTGTTGACCCTGTGGTATATTTTCACCTGGTGGTGTGTTGCCGCTGTGGTATATTTTCCCTGATGTGTTGTCGCTGTGGAACATTTTCCCCTGGTGTGTTAACGCTGTGTTATATTTTCCTCTGGTGTGTTGACGATGTACTTTCTTTTCCCTGGTGTGTTGACTCTGTGGTATATTTTCCCCTTTTGTGTTGACGCTGTATTATATTTTCACATGGTGTGTTGACGCTGTAGTATATTTTTTTTGATGTGTTGACGCTGTGGTATCTTTTCACCTGGTTGTGTGTTGACGCTGTGGGATATTTTCCCTGATGTGTTGTCGCTGTGGAACATTTTCCCCTGGTGTGTTAACGCTGTGTTATATTTTCCTCTGGTGTGTTGACGATGTACTTTATTTTCCCTGGTGTGTTGACGCTGTGGTATATTTTTTTTGATGTGTTGACGCTGTGGTTCATTTTCCCTGGTGTGTTGACGCTGTGGTATATTTCCCCTGGTGTGTTGACGCTGTGGTATATTTTCCCCTGGTGTGTTGACGCTGTGTTATATTTTCCCCTTGTGTATGGACGCTGTGTTATATTTTCCCCTGGTGTGTTGACGCTGTAGTATATTTTCCCTGGTGTGTTGACGCTGTGGTATACTTTTCTGATGTGTTGACGCTGTGGTATATTTTCCCTGATGTTTTGACGCTGTGGTATATTTCCCCTGGTGTGTTGACGCTGTGGTATATTTTCAGCTGGTGTGTTGACGCTGTGGTATATTTTCCCTAGTGTGTTGACGTTGTGGAATATTTCCCCCAGGTGTGTTGACGCTGTGTTATATTTTCCCCTTGTGTATGGACGCTGTGTTATATTTTCCCCTGGTGTGTTGACGCTGTGTTATATTTCCCCTGGTGTGTTGACGCTGTGGTATATTTCTCCTGGTGTGTTGACGCTGTAGTATATTTTCCCTGGTGTGTTGACGCTGTGGTATACTTTTCTGATGTGTTGACGCTGTGGTATATTTTCCCTGATGTGTTGACGCTGTGGTATATTTCTCCTGGTGTGTTGACGCTGTGGAATATTTTCCCCTTGTGTGTTGACGCTGTGGTATATTTTCCCCTGGTGTGTTGACTCTGTGGTATATTTTCCCCTGGTGTGTTGACGCTGTGTTATATTTTCCCCTGGTGTGTTGACGCTGTGGTATATTTTCCCTGATGTGTTGACGCTGTGGTATATTTCCCCTGGTGTGTTGACGCTGTGGAATATTTTCCCCTTGTGTGTTGACGCTGTGGTATATTTTCCCCTGGTGTGTTGACTCTGTGGTATATTTTCCCCTGGTGTGTTGACGCTGTGGTATATTTTCCCTGATGTGTTGACGCTGTGGTATATTTCCCCTGGTGTGTTGACGCTGTGGAATATTTTCCCCTTGTGTGTTGACGCTGTGGTATATTTTCCCCTGGTGTGTTGACTCTGTGGTATATTTTCCCCTGGTGTGTTGACGCTGTGGTATATTTTCCCTGATGTGTTGACGCTGTGGTATATTTCCCCTGGTGTGTTGACGCTGTGGAATATTTTCCCCTTGTGTGTTGACGCTGTGGTATATTTTCCCCTGGTGTGTTGACTCTGTGGTATATTTTCCCCTGGTGTGTTGACGCTGTGGTATATTTTCCCTGATGTGTTGACGCTGTGGTATATTTCCCCTGGTGTGTTGACGCTGTGGAATATTTTCCCCTTGTGTGTTGACGCTGTGGTATATTTTCCCCTGGTGTGTTGACTCTGTGGTATATTTTCCCCTGGTGTGTTGACGCTGTGGTATATTTTCCCTGATGTGTTGACGCTGTGGTATATTTCCCCTGGTGTGTTGACGCTGTGGAATATTTTCCCCTTGTGTGTTGACGCTGTGGTATATTTTCCCCTGGTGTGTTGACTCTGTGGTATATTTTCCCCTGGTGTGTTGACGCTGTGTTATATTTTCCCCTGGTGTGTTGACGCTGTGTTATATTTTCCCCTGGTGTGTTGACGCTGTAGTATATTTTCCCTGGTGTGTTGACGCTGTGGTATATTTCCCCTGGTGTGTTGACGCTGTGGAATATTTTCACCTGGTGTGTTGACGCTGGGTATATTTTCAGCTGGTGTGTTGACGCTGTGGTATATTTTTTAGCTGGTGTGTTGACGCTTTGGTATATTTTCAGCTGGTGTGTTGACGCTGTGGTATATTTTCACCTGGTAGTGTGTTGACGCTTTGGTATATTTTCACCTGGTGGTGTGTTGACGCTGTGGTATATTTTCACCTGGTGTGGTGACGCTTAAGCATAACTTGTGTTTTGTATTTGTGTGGTGAAGGTACATATTTTCCTTGTATGTTTGTACAATCTCCATACAGTAAAGAGAAGAAAAACATATCCCTGTGAATGACGGTTTATGTCCCTGCGATCCAAATTTAAATTTTGATAATCCTGAAGTAAAGGTATTTGATATTACATAGTATATCATATATATTACATCTAATTACAGATTTTTAATATACTATGGTATCAACTCTTTAGTGTGATAAATTAAATACCCCTATCACATGGCGAGATATTCACCTTTATCTGCCACTTCAGATTGTCTCTAATTTAGGAAACATGTAGAACTTATTTAAAATGGTAAATATACAAGTATGATAAATAGAAGATGAGAAGGCTTTCCCATAAAATATCCGGCACCAGCCCTCGACAAATATCAGCAAGGTGGCTATAAACATTTTATTGTCTGCATATAGTTTCATTATTTTACGAAATAAAATGTAAATTTGCAATTTTATTAAAAGTTTTATTAAAGTTTTAATTGTATACGTATCTGGAGACAATTATTAATTTGTTTTACACAAAAGAGCATTATGTCCCTTGTATTTAAACTCGAACTGATTCAGAATGTATCCTACATGAACTACATTGAATTTCCTTTAAAAGCGAAAAGCACTTATACTAGTGAGTATTCTTGATCACTTTGAAGAAAGTAGAAATCATTATATTAGGAATTGTTTTTCTAAGAATATTAGGTAGATACGACATAGAATATCGAATATATTGAATATATATTTAATGTAGCTGCAACAATTGACACAGATTTTCGCATTGATTATGAATTCTGAAGTTGCATTTGTGTAGCAACAGTGTAGTATTTATTATATTTATGTTTAAACCCAAGTATCTCGAATACCCCAGCCACATTTAAGTAGCAGGATAACGAAATGGACTCTTAAAAAAACCCGGAACTGAAGTCGTCACACTGATATTGGTATCTCTTACGCAGCGAACCAAACACGCCATGAGATCCGGCAGACTCATGTGTCATACTGCTGTGCGACCCATTAGATATGAATTAACGCCCG